GCATGAGAGTGGAGCCGAGGGGCAAAACTCAACCAGGGACCTGAAATTTCAATTTCGGTAGAAGAACAAATCATGCAGGTAATGTACCAGACGGAGTCGTGTACATGAGGCAGTTACTTATACAAATGAGAATAATTGCCTACGGCAGCCGATGCTCGAATGAGAGAGGCCTTGTTTTGAGACCGATGGGTAGTGGGAGCCTGAGAGGCCGGACAAGTCCAGTAGGTTTAATAATGAGTGTCACAGTAGCAAAGAGAATCAAACGGGGGCTAGTAACTTGCGCTGGCGTTAGAGGTACCTATACCGTCACGGAACCGATGCGATATGGACCAAAAGGAGTTCTATAGGCAAAAGGTATGTGGAAGAGGTAGTGTTATGCAAAATGAACCCATTGGTTCGAGCCTCCAAAAAATATTACACGTGCAAGATAAAGCCTGGTTTGTCCGGTTAGTAAGTTAGAAAAATGGTTGATAATCCTCCGCTCATGTCCAGATAAAGGAACTGTCTGCTTTGTATTGTCGCAACGATGGAAAATTCCTTGGGTGTGTGGTGCCGTATTTGTGACAAACTCGGGGAAAAAGAGGTAACGAACAGAGACAGCCACACAGACGGAAGAAAGGAATGCGTCGAATGCAGTCGATCGATTGCGGCGCTGACTGAACTAATGTACTCCCATACATGTAATTGTTATTTAAATATCGCATATGCTCGTGTAACATAAGTGGCGAAATTCGACGAGAAGCGAGCAGAACACGGAGCAGTAGAGAATGTAAGATTGTTCCAAAATAGGGATAAAGCTGAAGCAAAGAGAGTTCGTGGGGTCCTAATGCGCATATGCCCGATCAGTGGGAACCAGAGAGAAGAGGATGAGGTGTGCAGATTATGGGAAAGAATATCACGTAGAAGAAGCGACAGGAACGCGTTGCCTCAGTCTTAAATTAGTAGGAATGTAAGAAGTCGGGGAGGACAAACGCAGGTAAGTTAGCGTCGAATGAAGAAGGAATGCAAAAAAAGCCGCAGAAAGGAAAGAAAAGAGCCGGTAAAACAAGTTCTATTGAGAAGAAGTGGAAAAGCCGCCGACGTTCTTGGGTGATGATTCATCCTTATGAATAAAAAGGTTGAATAATGTCCTGTGAAGTAATTAAGGTAAAGGTGGACAGTGGGAGTTTTCCGCACCACGTAGGTCTCAGTCGGGGGCTCACTTGGCCAGTCTTGTGTCAAAGGCCCGATTTGGAAGCAGATGGAACGGCTTCGTTTACCCGTATGGGTAGCTGAGCCGGAATTAGGTGTGAACGGGAAGTGTGAGGCAACAAGAGCGTCCAAGGCAGTGGAAGTTTCCGGCTACTTTGGAGTAGAATGAGGGCTCAGGAGCGGCAGCCCGGTGTGAAGGCGTAGACTGTCTAATGAAGTACGACAGCGGCTAACGGAAACAGTATTAGCGGAAGTAGTGTATCGTTGCAGGGACACATAGAATTCAGGACAAAGGTCGCAGCAGGAAAGGTGCATCCATCCGTCACACGCAGATCACTGTAAGCCTGCAAACGAGAGGGCACACCTTTACTGCAGTTCAGGCATTTTGACGTCATAGCTAACAACCGGATAAGTCTCCCCACTCGACAAATCGAAGGCATAATCTCACAAACTCCGCGAAGTTAGAAAGAAAGACGCTATTCGTAGCTGTTGCGAAGAAGTGTCGTGTAACGAGTGATCGAAACTAGTTTGAAGCGTGGTTGTATTTAAATTGCCGCACTGACGGCGCCTTCCTTTCCGTCTGCCTTTCAGAAGGACATTCCTGCGCAATTATTGAAGAAGGACAAAAATCTAAAGAGAACAGTTGACTGTAACTTTTCTTTTACCTTTTCCGTTACAATGATTCTTCCCTATAGAGCCTACGTGTTGCGTAATAGAACTTAAGTCTTAATCCTTGCAGTTCTCCCTTGTCTGCATTTTACAATTGGCGGCCCTGCCAGTATTTCAGAGCGATGCCGAAATCAACGAGTCAAATGGAAGATGAAAACCAAAAGCTCGATGTTGATCCCGGATTGAGCATTTCTGTCGCCTTAGAATCACTGTCAGACGCTCTTCAGAAAATGACCACGAATCAGCTACCAACCGTGTCCACACCCCGGTTACCGCCCCCGAAAGATTTTCACCGGGCATGCCCTACTCAAGGTGGGAAAAGAAGCCCAGCTGTACTTAAAGTACTTCCCTGTCGCACAACACGGCACCGTCATAATGGGATTACTCTCGCAAGAGGCGTTCGATATTGTGGCGGATACCAATCTTCTGGAAGAGCCAGTCACACCGGAAACATTCGCCTCCCTTCGGAGTGTACTGGACAGGCCAGGTCTGCCAGAGGAGTTGCGCAAGGCCTTTCATGCCCGGTATCAGAGACCGGGGGGAAATGTCGGATCATATGCTTGTGAATTGCGGAGAATGGCCGTATTTGCCTATGTAGCCGAAACGCATGAACAACAGGGCAAGCGCGTTTTAGCGCAGTTGCTCGAGGGCATCCAAACTCCCTCGGTAAAAAGGGAGTTTCGTCTACGACGCCCTACTTGCCTTCAGGCAGCCTTAGAGGTGGCAGACCAACTAGAACAAGTGGACGCGTCCATGGGCCTCATGGAACCATGTTGCGCGTTGAAGCGATACAGGCCCGCTAGCTCCCAGCCACCAGAACGTAGAAATTGGAATCGCGTCCCGTTTCGAGGGGATTACTCGCGACGTCCAGTGCAATCGTACTTCCGAGTGCCCCACCCCCCTCCACCAAGAGGAGGAAATTGCCCGCCAAGCCGTGGCAGGCGAAATCATCAAGGTGAGTAGGGTCTTGTGAAGTCAGTTTTCATTCCCGCCGTCACTAGTGCAACGTCCGCATTTTCATTAACGATAGAGCTAATCATAGCAGGGGTGCTACTGGTAGGTCTAATTGACACAGGGGCATGCAGGAGCTTAGTCCGAGCTAATATAACCAAATCGCTGACAGCTTGTGTGGACACCATGTTACTGTCATCTGACCGCTGCTAATGGGGAACCTCTGGCTGTTCGGGATTCTATCACTGCTCAGGTTCACATTGCTAACGAGAAGTTCCGCCGTGAGTTTATTGTCGCCGATAACCTTCCATTTGCTGTAATCCTTGGAATGAACTTATTGAGACGTTTGAAATGTCACTTAGATTTAGACAAATGCCAGTTGATCACCGTCAGTTGCGTTATATTGCTCAGACAAGGCCACGCTGACAGTCGTAAAACGTTTACTATTTGTGGGAGCTCATCTGACGAGGAACACCGGGTAGACACGTTTATCCGCTCACTCGAATTGCCAACGGACGAGGGAACGTTGGAAAAGCTCAAAGAAGTGCTGCTAGCCCACTCTGATGCATTCGCCTGGCAGACTGGAGACCTGGGTCGCACCAGCGTCGTGAAACACCTAATCGACACGGGGAATACGACCCCGATTAAGACTCACCCAAGACGGATCCCAGTGCCCTGGCAAGGCGAGCGGCAAAAGCTCATAGACGAGCTGTTGAAAAAGGAAGTTATACGACCCTTTACTTCCCCATGGGTAGCCCCAGTCGTCTTGGTAAAGAAGAAAGACGGTGACATTAGGCTGGGTGTTGATTATAGGCGGCTACACGAAGTCAAGCGGAAAGATGCATATCCACTGCCCAGAATTGATGACCTTTTCGACGCGCTCGGAGGGTCGGCTTATTTCAGCACGCTAGATTTGGTGTCCGGCTATTGGCAAGTGGAAGTTGAAGAGAGTGACCGAGCGAAGACAGCCTTTGTAGTACCTTCAGGCCTTTACGAGTTCCAAACAATGCCTTTCGGCCTATCAAACGCCCCTGCAACGTTTCAACGTCTTATGCAGAAAGTGCTTCACGATTTAGTTCCTCACAAGTGTCTCGTCTAGCTGGACGAGGTCATCCTACACGGGAGAACCAAGGATGAACATCTAAGCAATCTAGCCGGTGTTAACGTGCCTAATCAATGTAGGTTTGAAACTACAACCAAAAAATTTCGCTTGCTACAAGAAGTTACCTATCTCGGACGCATCATCTCTAGGGCAGGCATCCGGACAGATCCTCGTAAGACCGATCAGATAAAGGCGTGGCCAATCCCCACGAATGTCGAGGAGTTACGCAGTTTCTTAGGACTAGCGTCATACTACCGTCGATTCATCAAAAGGTTCTCGGAAGTCGCAGCCCCTTTAAACGCGTTGTTGCGGAATAATCACAGTTTCGATTGGACTGTCGAATGTCAAACGGGCTTCGATCGGCTGCGTGAGTCCCTGTGTACCGCCCCGATGTTAATCTTCCCAGACTTGTCGCCACACGCTGGGGAGTTTATTTTGGACACGGATGCCAGCGATCGGGCCATTGGGGCGGTTTGTCACAAAAAGGGCGGGATGGCATAGAGAGTGGTTTCATACAGTAGTAGAAGCCTTACGTCAAGAGAACGCAATTCCTGTACGACAAGGAAAGAAATGTTGACGTTGGTCTGTTTCCTAAGACAAAATCGGCAATACCATTTAGGAAGAAAATTCTTAGTACGGACTGATCACCAATCACTCGGGTGGTTGCAGCATTTCAGGGACCCTGAGGGGCAGATTGCTCGATGGCAAGAGCAGCTACAGGAGTATGATTTCGAATGTCAACATCGGCCTGGGAAACCACACGGCAACGCAGACGCGCTATCGAGGATTCCGTCTCGAGCTCACGGAAACTGTCCTTCCTGCATTACGCATCACGTAGCGCTAGTCAACCTACAAAAAGCCGAGTATGGTCGTTGGCAAGAAGCACAGGCTTCGGACACAGATATATCACTCATCTACCACGAGCCGCGCTCGGGAAGGGACAAACCAGCTCCGAAAGAAATGGAAGGGAAAAGCTAAGAAGCTCGGTGCTAGTGGGCGAGGTGGGATAAACTCGCCATCGAAGAGGGTGTGTTGGTCTTCGATTTCGGCCCCACGTACCGGAGAAGGATCGTTGTTCCACAGGCGTTAGTTACCGAAGTGCTGTCGGAACTGCACCAACAGCTGGGACACGCTGGAATCAATAAACTCGAATCGGCGGCGCGTCAACGATTTTGGTGGCCGCACCAACGAAGAGATATTGTCAACTTCTGCCAAACTTGCGAAAGATGCGCGACGTTCAAAAATCCGCCTATTGCTCATAGGGCGCCATTACAATCCATGATTGTGGGTTACCCGAACGAAATAGTTGGAGTAGACCTCGTTGGTCCACTTCCGGAAACGCCGAGAGAGGAATCGCCACATCCTAGTCATGGTTGACTACTTCACCAAATGGTGAGAAGCCGTGCCAATCGCGCAGGCTGATACTCTCGCTGTGGCAACAACGATGACTAACCACTGGGTTTGCCAATGGGGAGCACCTGGGCAACTGCATTCCGATAGGGGATCACGTTTCTAAAGCTCATTGGTTTAGAAGATGTGCAGAGCACTTGGTATCGATAAAACGCGAACAACGGCTTGCAATCCACAAGGGAACGGACAGGTTAAACTTACGAATCGGTCGTTGAAGTCACTCTTGAAGGCGTTCGTGGACCAGAACGTTTACGAGTGGGACACGTTGTTGCCTAAATGCTTATTGGCTTATCGCAGTACGGTCCACTCTCCTACCGAGCAAACGCCGTCGTTCATGTGGACGGGAAGTGAAGTTCGGTTGCCCACGGATGTCCAATTACCGAGATCACAACAGGTGTACCCGTCGGTTGCAGAATACGTCAGTAAGCTCCTTGACTCCATTCGACGCACACCAGAAACGGCACACATTCACTTGGCGAAAGCTCAACGGCGACAGAAGGAATACTACGACAAGAAGGTCTTCGGTGTCCCGTTGAAACCAGGCGACCTCGTATAGCTGCATCAGGCACCAGTATCCGGAATACCAGCGAAGCTGCATCGTGAGTGGGCAGGCCCCTATGTGGTAGACCGAATAATATCTGATCTAACTTGCGTGATTAGGGACCCAAAGAACGCCGTCGGGCAGCACGTGGTCGTACACTTCAATCGGCTTAAACCTTTCCATATCGAGCCGGAGCATTCGGGTGAGGAGCACCACATTGAGCCACCGAGAGAAGTAGCCACCGAAGTTGAAATACCAGCTCAAGGGGCTTTGGCGTGGCAACGGGGACGTTGCCTACATAGAAGGGGTGCGGTGTAACGAGTAATGGAAACTAGTTTGGAGCGTGGTTGAAGTTAAATTGTCGAACTGACGGCGCCTTACTTTCCGTCTGCCTTTCAGAAGGACATTCCTGCGCAATTATTGAAGAAGAACAAAAATCTAAAGAGAACAGTTGACTGTAACTTTTCTTTTACCTTTTCCGTTACATTGATTCTTCCTTATAGAGCCTATGTGTTGCGTAAT